AGATTTCAGCAGAGCTTCCAGACCAAGACAGACTATGAAGAAGGAAGGGACCATCCACTTCTCAAAGAATTGGCCAATTAAAATCTTATGAATAGCAATGAAACACTGTCCTATATATTACTGGAAAACTTTATGAATAGCCCTGAAATAGTCTGATATAGTGCCAAAGATGAGCCCTTCAGGTTGGAAGGCCCTCAGAATATGACTGGGGAAGACCTGCCTTCTCAAAATAGAGTCAATCATAATGATGTGGATGGAGTAAAGCTTTTGAGACCTTCATTTGCAGATGGGACATGACTTAAAATGGGAAAAAACAGCCGCAAACATCCATTAATAATTGGAATGTGAAATGTACTAAGTATGAAGCTAGGAAAATTGGAAGTTGTCGAAAATTAAATGGAACATGCAAAGATAAATATCCTAGGCATTAGTGAGCTGCAATGGACTGGTAATTGGCCATTTTAAATCAATCATATGATCTACTATGCTGGGAATGACAAATTGAAGAGCAATAGTGTCACATTCATTGTCTCAAAGAATGTTTCAGGATCTATCCTGCTGTTAGTGATAGGATAATATCCATATACCTGCAAGGAAGACCAGTTAATATTACTATTATTAAAATTTATGCACCAACCACTAAAGCCAAAGATGAAGAAATTAAATATTTTTGCCAACTTCTCCAGTCTGAAATTGAACAAACATGCAGTCAAGATGTATTTATGATTATTAGTGATTGGAATTCAAAAGTTGGAAACAAAGAAGAATCATCAATAGTTGGAAAATATACCCTTGGTAATAAAAACAACCCTGGAAATGACATGATAAGAGTTTTGCAAGACCAATGATTTATTTACTGCAAATACCTTTTTTTTCACCCAGATGAAATACACAGAAATCAGATAAACCACATCTGTGGAAAGAGGTGATGGAGAAGCTCAACATCTTCAGCCAAAACAAGTCCAGGAGCTGACTCTGGAACAGACCATCAATTGTTCATATGCAAGTTCAAGTTGAAGCTGAAGAAAACTAAAACAAGTCCATGAGAGCCAAAAAATGACCTTGATTATATCCCATCTGAACTTAGAGACCATCTGAAGAATAGATTTGATGCATTAAACACCAATGACTGAAAAACAGACAAATTGTGGGATGAAATCAAGAATATCATACATGAAGAAAACAAAAGGTCATTAAGAAGACACGA